CTGACAGGTCACTCAAATCTGCCCTGAAATTGGAACCTCTTGTTCCAATTCCAATTGTTCTCGTTCCAGTGCCTGAGACAGTAACTTCTGCAGGAGATATGATCTCAGAGTCCCTGGCTCTGCTACCTGCTCCTTCTCACCGCAGTCTGGATCTTTTGCATTGTCTTCAAGGGAGGTTGAACCTGGCTCCCAGTGGAATGGGTGGCTGCCTATTCCATTAACTCTATCCTCTTTGGAGCCATGGTACAGATCTAAGATGAATACTAATCCAGGACTGGCTCCAGCAAGCTAGTTCTGGATTAGCTTTTGTAACACCTTCTGCCAAATCCAAATATATTGCCTCAAGCCTCCTTGTCCCAAAAGGAGGCGGTAGGCTTCCTGTCTCTATCCCTTGGGTAAGCTCTCTGCCAAATTCAGGAAAATCCACAGCTTCAGGTGCGTGCAGGCACGTAGCAGCATTGGTGTTGACAGTGCACTGTGGCCAGGTGAGCCCTTTTCCATATCAGCAGGGCTCATGGTCATACTCTTCACAATCAGGATTGTGGTGACCACCAGGCTGCTGTTGAATGCACAGCAGAAGCAGAGCAACAGCAAAAGGAGCAGAAGAAATTACACGAATAAGCATCAGAGAGATGCCTGCTTCCTCCTACAAAGAAGCACTGTTCTTTCATCTTGATTAAAGATCCTGCTCAGAGTAATCTGGGACTTCACCATCTCCTGAGACATTCTGTGTAATCTGGGTTGACAGCAAAAGGAAGTGAGCACCCTCACACAGGGCCTCACTCCTCAGACACTTCCCAAGTCAGCTCTGTTTTCTGCCATCTCCCAGTGCACATGCATGGCAAGATCGTGGGTTTAGTCTGCAAAGAGTTAGTGAATCATTTGTCAGCTACATCAGGATTTTCTTATCTACTTTTGATCCTCTGAGACTACTCTGTAGGTATAGGGCGCTGTTAACTAAACATGGCCAAAGACTCAGCTTGTAGCTGCAAGACATAAAGCATCCCTAGACATTTATTTTTAGAATCAGTTGCCAGCAGAGACAAGAGTGAAATGTTCAATCAAGAGGTTGAAACCTGCAGAATGGCAAGATGCTCCCTGTGCATCTTAAAAGCTTGCTAACTGATAAATTCTCCCAGCCCTTCACTCCCTTCAATTTCTGGTTCAAAATTCACTGCTTTATTTCTTGTATGAAGGAGAGAAGTGCTTCATCCATAATAAGCAGAAATTTATTGATAGGGCTGGGCTCAAGGTGTGTCGGGATGCAGATAATCAGGATAAGCCTGAGCTCCTTTTCCCTATTGTCTCTCCTCCCATTTGTCTTGTCTCAGCATCTTCCCTTGGGTGCACTAGACGATATGAGCTTAGCATTTTCCATGCCATTTGGCATATGGTTCCTTCTTTTTCTCAAGGAGCTTCAGCCCCTAACTTGCTCTTCTCCAGCTTGTCATCTGCTACTATTATCCACTTATACCCATAGCACAGCTTAATCATAGTAATATATTATGCCTATGTGTGTGTTTCTCCCCTCCTCTGGGTATTTACAAGATAACTGTGAGTTGAAGTGCAGTCTGGAAGACTGCAACTTGTTGGTAGATCATACAAAAGACTTTGACAGGAAGAAGACATCTTTCCTTTATCCAGCTGGCAGCTTGCGATCTCTCAAAACACCGTTTATTGCTAATTTATTGCTAACAGAAGAAACTATGGCATTCTAACATACTTAAAATGGTAAAAATTGCTAGGTCCAAGTATTAGACAATAAGTGTCTGATCACAAACTGAGTAACAGAAGTTGAGCATTGAGTAACTGGAAGTCTTCAGCCAGTTTAGAGTGGATAAGCTCTGAAAAATACTAATGGAAAGCTTTAAAAAACCCCAACTCCTCCATAGTCTTCACTTGCTAAATTATTATTATTATTGAGCAGAATCATAAAATGTCAATTATTGGTTTACTGTTCAGTAACTTATAAAATTATTTCCATAAATCCTTTGAGCTGCATCGAGATATCTGAAGATGCTGCATACAGAACTATAAAGCCAGAAGTTTAATGTCTTTCCCTCTTAGTAGTAGTAGCAGTATAATATTTTGGGACTTTAAAAAATGTATTTTATCCCTCTATATTCTGGATACCCTGAACAGTTCACACTTCCATAATGGGAATTTTCGGGAAGATTTTGATTTAAGTCCTTTAGGCCCTGGTTGAAATGAGGGTATAAGCAGGAACCCGTGTTCCAGATTGTCAGCTTTGTTCCTGCTTTTTAAACTATATTCCATGTGTATTTAAATCTCATTGTTAAAGCTTTGCTTCTTCCCACACATCTACTTTCAAGAAAGTTTTAAATCACCTGTCTTTAAAGGGTGGTGGAGGTTGGCCTCCTCCTTCCAATCTATGTGGAGAAACTCCACATTACCATTAATCAGATGAGTTGCAACCCCTTTCTTCTCCAAGAAGACTTGATCTTTAGGTGGTGTTCTCTGGGCATGTAATATTTGAGTGTGAAACACAAAGGGAAGGTAATCTTTTAACTTAGGTCACTTGTATAGGATGGGGGGGGATGCTGAGTGCAACTTCAGCTCTTGTTTTTCTAGGTGGAATAAACACTGCTTAGTAGGATAACTCAGAGATATTTATGAGTGAAGAAAATCCACCACTACTTGTTTTAATTCTGTCCTTTTGCACACTTAAGTGTTTTCCTGCTCAGCCTTTTGAATCTTGTAGGTCTGGAGGTTTATATACATGCAACATGAGTTGTACGTGGAAAGAATGTCCACCTGAAGGCTTTGGGGGACAGGTGACTACATTCTGGTGTGAACCTCAACACATTGTGCTCATCATGTGAATCACAGCCTCAAGCTCTAAAATGAAACATTAGTGGGTGTGTTGTGATTCGAGCATAAAACACCACCATGGTCAGGCAAGTTCAGCATACACACTTTTGAGTATCAAATCCCAGCGGCACAAAAGAAATAGCTTTTGTGAAATTCATTGCTTTCCCTGATCCAAGTTTCCTCCTTAGACTGTTCCCTCTGCCATAAAAACCTTTGCTTCTTGTGCCAACGAGTAAGACTGATCTTTTAAAACCTTTAGCAAACTACCTGCAATGTTACAGCATTAAAAATAAATAAACAACTTACTACACACTTCCCTGGTTTCAAACTTTGCAGATTCAGAGTTCACTAAGAAGCCACTTCTCTTTTTCCTTTAAAAGAAGACAACCATATAGAATAATAGAGTTCTCTGTCTAGCATAAAAACCCATCTGGAAAGAATTTAGTCTGCAATAATTGTGGGCATTTGATTTAGCTTTAAATCCCTGTAGGTAATTCAAATGTAAATTTATTGGGGTGAGTTTATCCCCAAACCACCATTGGATCCAATGTTTTAGAGATGAAATTGGCCCACTGCACTAAAACTAGAGCCTGCATTGTTTCTGTTGCATCAGGATATTGTTACGTGCTGTAATGTCTGTCATTACAAGCAGACCTTTACTAGAAATAAAGTCAATAGAGACAATTCAGACAATCAATCAGTTGAATCCATCTATTTTTCAGACCATTAAAGATCAGTAATACTTTGGTTATGAGTATGGTTATAGACTGGTACCTAAATCACTCAGCCGACACTGGCTAATTCATTATTTGGATATTCTGTGCTCATCTGAGTGAGTCTTTTTTGGTGACAGAAAATTCTTTGCGTTTCACATTCTGCTTTAGCAAAGAAGGGAGTTTGAAGGGGCCTTCAGCACATACTGTAAACAATGCCATCTGTCTTTTTCTTTGTAAAATCTTCTTCGAGATAGCCCCGATATGCCTACTGTTTTCAATCACTTAAAAGGCAGTAATCCCATTATCTCATCCTCGATGTAAGAACCGCCATTGCTTTCAGTCCACTTCCAATCCTGACACAAGTAAATCACTTTGATAAGATCCCTTCATTATTTATTTTTTTTCGGAGGAGACCAGCATAAGTAATGATGCCAGTGAGAGACCAAGGACAAAATGACCATAATGGGCTTTCTGTAGGAAAGGAAAACATGTGCCATTGTGATTTATTGTGTTACTTGGAAAACGGTTTTCCTTGGATTTTCTGCAACAGCTACACTCTCCAAGTGAAGGGCAAGTAGGAATGGCCAAATGGTAAAGTCAGACAAAACAGATTTAAACAGCTATCACTACCTAGACTTCTTAAATGGGAACAGAAGGTCAAAGCCATTTTGGAATTGTGCCTAGGTCTTATTCCTCTTTGGTATAATGCCACCTACTTACATGGAAATGCACAGGGAACGTGTAAAGTTGGACCTTCCTTACAAACTGCTATGGCTTATCGCACAGATATGCCTTCCTTCTATTTAAAAATTGTTTGGGTGAGTTCAGTGCTTTGTGCCACCAGCGAGGCAGGGGCCTGGAAAGCACATCTGACCTCCCAGAATAGACATGGCAGAAGATCAGTAGTATCTGTGGACTTCCTGCTCTGAACTGGCCTCAACTCTGATGCTGAGGGAGTATGGGTAGAGCTGAGCTGTCTCTGGATGCATCTACCTCTTGCCTGATTTCAGATAAATGGGGGAGCACCACATGAGGTGGTCATGTGTGATGTGAAAGCCTGTTTGAAAGGAGCTGGACCACAGGTGTCTCTTTGAACCCAGAATGATTACTCATCACAAATAATCCCAGGTCTTGTTTGTTCAAATCTGTAAAGACTGCTGGTCTTACATTCACTGTCTGAGGCTGAATACAGGAAATGCAATGGGAAATTCTCTCAACTTTGCTGAAGAAGCAGTACCACGCAGGTAAGAGGTGATCAATGTTAAAACACCACAAGCCAAGTTCAGCATTTCCAGTGCTAAGAGGTAACCCTTCTGTTAAGTAAATCTGGAGTCTGTGTGAAAAAGCTGTGATCTGGGCAGGGAAAAGGCAGCATGTTCATTGTATTAAACCTAATGAATCAAGAGGCTGTTTTAGGATGTTTTTGACACAATAGGTTGTTTCCTTTCACAGAGAAAGTGTGGAGAGCCTTATCCAAAAGCATTCCTATGCCCGGTCCCCCATTCGAACCTATGGAGGAGAGGATGATCTTGGAGATGACAGCCAGGCAACACAAAGCAGAGGTAGGAAAATGTGCTTGTGAGGTAAACCGTGATGACATATTTATGGTTGGGAAAAGTAGGATCACAGTCAGTACTGTGGTGCTCTGAAGCATTTCTCTGGTGTGCCTCTGCCTTGAAGTCCTATAAAGAGAATACCTGTTACCTCGTGGCTTTTCTGGACATTTTATATGCCCATGGTACTTGTGTGGGTGGTTAGCTCAGGAAGCGTCTTGAGATGTCTTATACAGCCTTTGCCATCAGAAGAGAACTATCTCTGCTTCCTCTTCAAGAAGGCTGAAAAACAGGCAACATCATTACCATAGTGCTGAAAGCAAGCTAACACTCCCCATCCCTTGGCAGGACTTACTAGCTGGGGCTCAGCACTATTTGTAAAGTACCATGGAAATATGCCATTTGTTGCCTCTCCAGCAACAGAGGACTTAGTTATGACCATCTTCAACCAGCCTGTGGTTAACCTGCTTTGCCTCTACAGGAAGAAAAGCCCATAGCTCCCTGGAAAATTGATGTTTTGTAGTTATCTCTTTGTCTCTAAAAGATGCCCTTCCTGCTGAGGCAATTTAGCTCAAATGCTTTATCAAATGGTTTGTCTACTTTAGCAAGACAGTTGTTCTTTGTGGGGATACTCGCTGGACAAATTGCATTTGTCATTATTTGCCACTGGAAATAAATCTCAAACCTATCTCATGGGATCACTAGCATAAACTTGTGTTGCATTATACTTTGCATGTTGACTTTGTGACCTGCCTGATACGCAACAGCCACTTGAGGTAAAGCAGTTCTATCTGCCTTCCAACTGGCAGTGCCCTTGTCTTGTCCTCTAACTTCATACAGTGTTGCTAAGATAAGAGCATTATTTCTGGTCATAAGCTCTTTGACTTGTGCAGAGGAAACACTTATTTTTAACCATGAGTTACTTTTCAACAAGCTGTGATTAGGTGGCCTTGTTCATACACGTCTGTTCTAAGAGCAGTCCCTTACATTGCAGAGTTTCTGGAGCAACTCCTCAGCTGGTATGATGCCATCCTTTCACATCCTCCTGGGGGATTACCTCGCTTCACGTCAGCTTTGATCCTAGGCCAGTCATTGTTAAAGACAGTGTTAAATATTCGCTTTGCCAGAAGTGCTCAGAGCAAGGCACCTTCTCTCCAAGAATTAAATTTCTCCCTGTTACAATACCCTCCTTTGGAAGTGACAAAGTGAACATGTTGAACCTCAGTATGAGAGCTTGCCATTAAAGCCTCTCTACTGAAGAGAATGTCTACAAAGGTGTCATAGGAGGAAAGAATAGTTTATAACAGTCGATCTTACAGGGTACAGTTCTGCATTTGCTCACAATATGGCAAATGAGTAAGTGAGGAAGATGATGAGTTGTGGCAACCCATTTTTTTCTAATCTGGGAGCCATATGCTATCATAGGAAGTGATTGCTCTGGGCAACCAGAGGAATGCACAGAGGGTAAAACATACTGCTCTTACAGATGAATAACTGGTAGTTACTACCTTCACTCTCTGTTTAGGTCTGGTGTACTTAACTAAGGAAAAGTCCTCCAAGATACAATAGAAATAATGATCTTATAGAATCTCCACATTTTCATTTCTCCTGTTGCATTTTAAAACTACCCTGCTTGCAAAGTTGAGGGAAGTCCTTTCATATGTATGACAGCCAAATACATACACACTGCTGGGCCCTATGTGTTATAAGCTTGAGGCCTCAGAAGCCTCAGAATTACTAGAGCACATTTCGTTGGTGTTGGCAAACATGGCATGAGAGACTTTTTGTAGTACTAAGCTGCAGTTAGAGACCACTGCAGCTGGAGAAGGAAAGGAACTTATGTATGTTCTTCATGTGAATAATACCATAGTTTTGGTTGGAAAGTCATCTAGTCCATCCCTCCTGCAATAAGCAAGGACACCAGGTTGCTCCAAGCCCCGTCCAACCTAGCCTTGAACACTGCCAGGGACGGGGCAGCCACAGCTTCCCTGGGCAACCTGTGCCAGAGCCTCACCACCCTTATTGTAAATACTTTCTTCTTTATATGTAGTCTGAATCTTTTCTCTTTAGTTTCAAATCATTACCCCTTGTCCTTTTGCTACAGGCCGTATTAAAAGTTTGTCCCCATCTTTCTTTATAAACCTCCTTTAGGCACTGGGAGGTGCTTTAAGGTTTCCCTGGAGCCTTCTCCTCTCCAGGCTGAGCAAGCCCAGCTCTCTCAGCCTGTTTTATTTCTCTAATCATTTCACGATCACTCACAGAAAGAATCACATACTTTATTCTGTGTGGAACAAAGGAAGTTTACCCCTGCTATTTATTTCTAATTACTTCAGCACCCACCTAGAGTATTCTCAGCTCAGCCAATTTCAGCCATCCAAAGATGGAAGTAGCTAGCCTTCAGTAGCATATTTATCACAGGAAGTCTATTTCCAAAGGAATTAACAGATATGAAACATATAAATCCAATTAAAACTCTTTAATGCATAGTGTCTGGGTGCCTGCACTACAGCATCCACACACAGGTTTCATAGTAGCCACCAGGAAGAGAGCCATGTAAACCTTCCAGGCAAATCCAGATTTCCATCCTGCTTCCCCTGTAGTGCAATAATGCTGAGATATTCCCTGATTTGCTCTGGTCTGTGAGTACAGTGTTAACCTTATAATTTGGCTCTGGATCCTAACTTCCCAGCATTTTGGATCTGGTTCAGTGGTAGGGACAGGGTTTGGTTCAAGTCTATTTCCACTGCTGAATCAACATAATTTCTCTTTACTGGGCTATTTTACTTGTTTTGTTAAGCAGGGGAGGAATTAATCATGAGCAGCTTTCTTTCTGATTTTAGAATATAACCCTAAAGAGGTTTATGAGTTCAAACAAATTATTTTCCATTTTTGCTTTTCTGCTGCTGTTTGCTGTTGGTTCATATGTGTCATTCCAGGAAGTCTACCTTAACAGATAGCTGTCTCCTTTTTTCTTTTCACAACCTGGATGAACCTATCCTGTAGAACCAGATTTATGAAACTAATACCTGTTGTAAAATGTGTTGTCTCCAAATATTTTGCGATACAGAATTGAAGTTAAATTTTGCCAAATATCATTGCCAGTAGATTTATTTCTTCAGTAAGAAACATTTTTGCAATGGACAAAACTGGACAAGAAAGAAAATACAGAAGGGACATGAGCTGAATTATTGTTTGAATAGAAATCAAAAGAGTTTATTTATATGATTTTATGTATTCCTGTTTCTAGAAATCAGGCATCTGATGATGAGCAGATGCATAGAGGAACTGCAGAGGTGAAGGGCAACATTGTCACATTATGATCTAAAAACAACCATGTAATTAACCAAATTATTGTTTTCCCCCAAATTTACAGTTAATATAAAATAAGTAATTAGTTGTAGCTATTTTTCCTTTTTAATGATTCTGCAGACTTCAGAGGAAAAGTATTTTCAAGAGATAGAAAATTTGTGAGAATAACTTTTGGAACTTTTCAGATTCAGAAAACACCAAAGAAACACCGCTCCCATTTGATCAAAAGTAATAATTACCTTGAGAGCCAGTTCTTAACATTTTTGTGCATTTCACTGAAACCCCCCATCTCTTACTAATATTTAGCATTAGTGTTGTTTCCCAGAGCACTGTATTCAGTAGGAAAAATAACAAATGCTTTGACATTTTAGGGCTTTTGTTTTCTGTATTTTGGAAAAGTCAGGTTGAGTGAAAAGATGCCGTATGGACAGGTTCCACTGGGATAAAATAAAAGGGAGGGGAAAAGTTGTAGTGCAAATTACATTCTTCTGCATTTTTTGCCAAACTAAAACTTGAGGAGAAAACCCTAACAGTTCTATTGAGGATGTGATGTAAAAAGCTAAAGCATCTCTCCAAAACAGGGTTGTAATGCAGTGAGATTCCACATCAGAGTGGCTGCTTCAGTGTGTAGAGTCAGCATTACAAGGTTCTTCAGTGTTTAATACCAAAGATGCCCAATTGCAAAACTGATTTTATTGCTTAAGCCAGTGCAACCAACTTCTTAAAATGGAAGTCTGAATATGTGATAATGGACAACAAATGGCAAATAATAATATAAAGAAATACAAAAGGAGAGAGAAGTACTTCACATGACAACTTGTCATTAAAATATGCCTTGCTGTGAAAGGCTTTTTCTCACTTTTTGCTATGTTGCCAGCTTTGCGTGTTGCCTGAAGAATGAAGCATCAGGCATTATTTCTCTTTGCTTGCAGGGTCAGCATTTACAACATCTGACAACCTGTCCCTCAGTTCCTGGGTATCCTCTTCAACCAGTTTCCCTGGATTTCAGCATCCACAGTCTTTGAGTGCCCTGGGTACCAGCACTGCATCCATAGCTACACCCATTCCTCATCCAATCCAAGGATCTCTGCCTCCATACAGCCGCCTGGGAATGCCTCTCACACCCTCTGCTATAGCCAGCTCTATGCAAGGTAGTGGCCCCACTTTCCCTTCCTTCCACATGCCCAGGTACCACCATTATTTCCAGCAGGGTCCTTATGCAGCTATCCAGGGACTGCGTCACTCCTCCGCAGTGATGACGCCATTTGTATGAGTGATGTAAGACAAGAAGAACGTGAGATTTTCAATGTGCAAGTTTGGTATGAAAAGATATGAGGGACCTTCCTGTGGCAAGAGTGCTGAACTCATCACAAACCAGATAAGAAACATGCATTATGGATATAGATTCCTCCATTGAGGGATCATGAGAAGAGAGCATGCAGCTTAGACCTGCTCCCAGATCTTATGGTGGAGCACAGCTGAAATGGATCCCAAAGTTCCCAGGATGTGAGCAGCCGCGTGCAGCTCGTTCCAAAGGTGCATTATACCTAGTGGAAAGAGATGACGCTTATGCAGCAGTGTACAAATTAATTGTGTGTAAGTCTTTTTCTTTTCATATACTAGATCAATTCTGGAACAGGCAATACTCTTACTCATCTTCATCTCTTGTGACTGATGAACATCTAGGCAGAAAAATGTATTGCTATAACTTTGAGCATGTTTTAGCTATCTCAGCACACGTCTGCTGGGAACGGGACAAAGTGGAGAAGACCACTGTCCTTTTTAAAAGACTGGCTTATATTCACCAAAAGCAGTATTTCTTAGTTGCTACTATAATCTCAAAGAGAAAATTTTTAATGAGTCTTTCTTTATTTGCTTCTTTCACAAAACACTTATCAGTTCGAGGAAAAAAAAAAAGAACTGTGTTACAGGGCTGTAGCAGTAATGATGTATTCTGTCCTTGAGTCTGAACAGGAGTTTGTTCTCTATCCTAGGAGGAGCAATGTAACTCTCTATTAAGGTATGATGAAGGAAAACATTGATTTGGGAAAACCTGTCACTTAGAAACCCAAGATACCAAGTCTTTAAAACACTGCTTGTTTCCTTCTGTGCTTGCCACCGAAGACCTGTTTCTAACAGCAAATGCGTATCAAGGTAACCAAATTTCAGGCTAGATCAGCCTATAGGTCAAATTATAATCAATGGACTGAAATAAGATGAGTGGCATTGCAGTATCCTTCTATTTGTTCTGATTTTCTTAGGTTTGGTCATGGCTGTTACTATACTCTTTGGCCAGGAAAATGAGGGCTGTACTGTCTGGCTTTCCATGTCCTGGTGGAGTTTCCTTGGGAAAATATCAGTGCATGTAACTTTGATTAATGTCTGCCTTTTTTCAGTTAGCATTTAGGGTTCTCATTCAGTCCTGTCCACTTTTCCTAGTATGTTATGTCTGATGCAACAGAAGAACTGTAGAGGTGTAATTAAAAACGAAACCTCTGCAGTGAGCTGGCGTGAATCCTTTGCACTGCTGAAAAGAGTAGCAGTGCAATGCTGGTTTCTATGTGTCAGGAGCTGCGATTTCATTGTATGTAAGTCAACACAGAGTTTATGTCTGGAGTTGTGTCCAAGTTACAGGCAGTAACACATCTACTGATAAAAAAGAACTAGGAATCCAATCTCATATATTAAATATCTATGTAGAACCAGAACACAGAATGGAAACCAGGCTTTTCTGGCACTATTCTCCTCTACTTTTGACCAGTGCGCGTTGGAATCATATGGTAAGAAGCAGAGTGGAGTATACTGCTCCCATTGCCTCGTCTTAGCTGCCCCATCACACAGAGCAATGATAATGTCAGTCTTTTCCCACTTTCCACTGTAGGCCAGTATTTGCATCCCACAAGTAAGAGCCATATTTATGATTTTCCTGGTAGCAGTGTCATCCTCATTTCCCTTTGCTCTCTGTTGGACCTGCTGCTAGATATTGACCTGAGGCAATCTGCAACTTCTGGTCTCTGTATGTGAAAGAAAATGACCATTTAGTTACAATTTCTGGGTTCAGAGCTACCACAAAGAGTTCCACAAATGATTATAATAGCCCCAGCCTCAAAATCAGATACTGGATTTGGCTCGATGCATCTAAATACTAGATTTTGCTCTAGGCTATCACGTTCACCTGAAAAGTGCATGTTGCAAGGTTGTGTCTACTGATGACCCATGTTGATATAAACCCCATATTTTTCAGGAAATTGGATGATACTGGCCCCATAACAACGTAACTCCTGAAGTACATACATAATTCCACAGAAACAGGAATTTCAGGGAAGGAGATATGGAAGCAAGTTTTAATCCCTGTCCTTCAGTTGCTTGACTTCCGTTACAGTTGTATTAAGGCCTTCTGACGACATGCACTAAAGCATGTAGGGAAATTCTATTTGTTTTATCTGTTTCCTTCTGCAGCTTCACTAACTTATCTGGAGTTGCAGGGGATATGGTTAGGTTCAAAATTCAGGCCGGTAGCTTTAATGGTGAAGTGAGTAGGCATCTTTTACCCAACTCCAGAAGTAAGTTTGGAACAGGTAGGCTGATTTAGACATGTTTTACACGTCATATAAAGCCTGCTCATACATTGACCTGTCCCTCCTTTGTGAAGGAAATTCAGAGAAATAAATTGTATCATCTCTTTAGCCCTGTCTCTATGCTGAAAATGCCAATATTTGACATGCAGAAATGCCCCTGATCCTGCTTTAGAGAAAATCCTCCAGGTTCTCCCTGGAGAATGACACTGGATTTTGACAACATCAGTTACAAAAACATTAAATGAAAGACATGTGCTTTTCACTATGGATAAAATGTGATTTGCATCTGAAAAAACATGGTGGCAGCAGACTGTCCCATTCCTCATCCAAACTCACTGTGGTGAGTTTTGTATTGTAGATGATGCAGAACTATCTGTTAAAGTCCACAGCTTGATTTTCCAGTCAGATCTAATCTTTCTCAGTGGTCTCATCCCTCCTCATGCTGCTCTCTGGCATATGCTGCTCTCTCCAATGGTTTCATTCCTTTGCATCAGAAACCCATTGCGTTCCCTGCTGATGTGGAATCACGGACACATCCCAAGCAAGGGAACGAAGGCAGCTTGTGAGAGCCTTCCCCAGGAAAAAGGACAATAGCTGTGTCTAGTTCTGATCTCCTTTTCTTTGCCCCCATAATTCTACCTCCAAAACCTGTTGCAGAGTTGAGGTTGAAGGGATTAAGTTCACAGAGACCACAGGAGGCCCAATGAAGAGGTCTTGCCACCTCGCAAGGTTTCTTCTCCCTGTCCATCTCACCTTCCAGTGGGCAGTATGTGAGTGATTCCAGAGTTACAATTCCTGCCCACTGAAGTCAGCTTGATTGTAACAAAGATGGGATTTCATTCAACATTCTCACCTAAAAATAAAGTGTAACTGGAAGAACAATGAACTGCAGCGACAGCAACAAACAGGAACTCTACAAATAACCAAGACTAAACCCCAGCTACAAATCAGCTTTACCACTGATTTGACAATTGGAATTAAATGAATATAAATTCATAATTAATCAGTTAAGGAGTAAAACTGCTTTTCCAAAAAAACACCCCAAAACCAAACTATCTGTATGACTTGACAACAACTCAGTAATTTATTTAAGGAGTTGCTGTGCTGCCGTCAAAATTTCATCACTTTCAGGACAGAACATCTGTTGCTGGTAGATGGTCTGGGAATGCCAAATAATAATCTAGAGTTCATTTTCCAATATAATTCACATTTTATATCCCATAAGAAGTGCTCTTCACCTTTACGAGCTCTCTTGGCTGAGCAAACTGGTGCTGGTTTATGTTGTGGGGATTTTTTCAAGCAGGGTGGAGAGAACATGCCTGAATATGCTTTTCAAGGAGAATGATAAGATTATCCTCCAAAGTGTTACAAGTACTTTTGGGTGTTTTCTGGATTACTCTTTTATCCGAACATAGTCAACAGCCTCAGGTCTTTAATCCAACAAAAGCATCTCAAAGACTAACAAGCTGACTTAGATGCATTTGTCTGGGTTTTTTTTCTTCTACTTTCGGAGCACTGATTGAAGGTAGACATAAACCCGCCATTTTAAATTTGGTTTGCACTATTGCTTTGTATGGCCTGAGGCACTGTCAAAGAGAGAAATTCAATGCAACTGCGTTTCAGCGGTAATCTTCTAGGTATAAACTGACAAACAAGCATAGCCTAAGTGGATAAAGGCACAGACTTTCTAATGGAAATGCTTCTTCATGAGTTCAAAGATGGTAAGTTGTATAACAGCTAACATCCTTGGTAGCACAATCTACAAAATGCAATTGCAGATCTTCTCCCAGAACGCTTTATCCCTGGAGACCAGGACACTGCATGAGTGTGTACACATAAGATGTTGCTGCTTCCAGCACCCAGCAAACACTTAACCAGCATTTGAAAATGAACCTCTTTTAAACTGAAAACATTTGCGCTGGCAACTCTATGGACTGCATCCTCTTCATGTGTGTGTACTATAGGGAAAGAGAAATATCAACGAAAATGACTGCAAAAACTTGGGGCGCTTTCCAAAACTGTAAGTTAATATAAATTGTGACAATTTAGCCCTACATAAGGGGTAAACCCAACAGAGAGATTAGTGTATGCTTAGGGATCCTTGTCTGGGAGGGAGTTGTGGCCACAGTGCTTATATTCGTCATCTGCAGAGGGATGACATTCACTCACTGCAAGATCAGCTTTGGGTTTAGTGAGATCTTATTCTCACTATTCTTTACAGAGCATTTTCTGCTGCAGGAGATGTGGTTTCTTTAGTAAACACTTGCTGGCCAGAGGATTTATGTATTACTCTGTAATAAACTGTCCTTGCATATAATCTCTAGTTTATTAAATGACATATTCTTTTTATTTTATCTTTTTAAAAGAAAACTAAGCAGTAATTTAAGTAAACTCTGAAGTAACCTTTTATGATAGTTTAAGGACAGAAAATACAGTTTGCTGTATTTTACCTTCAGCACATTTAAACAGTCTTTTCTTTCCTTTTTTTTTTTCCTTCTAATTATACCTTCAGAAACATGAGGAAAGATTCGGTTTAAAAATAAGGAAGGTAAAAAACTGGTTGTAATCTCTTTAACAGAATGTACCACAGTTCTGCTGTTTGCTGTGTTGACTTTGTTGTTTATAATGCATCGCGTGAGCACATTCACCATGTACTGAAGTGTGTGTTTGTGTGTATGGGGTTGGGGGTAGGGGGAAATCTTTTTATGGAAAAAGAAGTTGTGAACATAAACTATGAAGTAACATCTAATGAAAAGTTTCTTTTTAAGTGCAATATATTTATTTCTGCTAGAAATATAATATCAACATTATGTAATATTTGAAGCATTAAATGTTATTTGTAAACAGCTTAAAATTATATATATATATCACAAAAAATTGTACAGAAGTGCAAATGTGTGGATATTCAGTTTCTTTCATTAAAATATTGGGTGTTTTGATATATCATTCTTATTTAGCCAAATCTCTCTGCTTCTGTTGTTTTTCCTCTAATCCAGTCACTAAGTAAGTGCAGTGGGAAAAGTGACGGATTTTTCTCAGAGCACACAGAATGTGGTAGGGCTGCTCAGATGAAAAAGGTGGTTTAAATCGTGGATCCCAGGATCCCCAAGATAATAAAGAGAGCTGCATCCCTGGGAGTGTGAGCAGCAGGTCAAGGGAAGGGATTCTCCCCCCTCTGCTGCACTCTGGTGAGACCCCCCCTGCAGTCCTGACTCATCTTTGGGGCAACAGCACAAGAGGGATTGTGGAGCTGTTGCAGTGAGTCCAGAGTTGGCCACGTAGATGCTGAGAGGGCTGGAGCAGTTCAGCTCTGGAGCCAGGCTG